AAGGCCTTTAAGTAGAGGTTATTTATTTTTTTAATTACTTTAATTAATTATTTATTTAGGCTATTATTATATTATTATTTAATATTTAGTAGTTATAATTTCAGGGTTTTTTATATAGTGGTTTTTTTCCAGCTTTACAGGCGCAAAAAATCAACCTTAACGGGATCAGCTTTCAAGGGAAATTATATAATACGGTATATAATATAACTATATAATATACGTAATATACCTTATATACGTACTCAATTTAATATAATGATTTTAATCTAAAAAATACGATATAATACGGGTAAGTAGGTTACCTACCGTACGGCGGCACAGGCCGTTAAGGTTAACGGTAAAGGTCGATCGTTAAGGTCGGCCATAAAGGTCAAAGGGGGATAGAGATATTCTGAACTCTAACGTCAATATAAAGGCTTCTAGAGAAAGGGCTAATATAGCCAATATCTTACTATTCTTTATACTAGAGCTCGTAAGGATTCTTTCTATCCTTATTATATTCTATATCATACACAAATACAGATACTTCACCACTTATAAGCAAAACCACCAAGCAAATACCACTAAATAAACACTATAATATACCCTAGACCTACTCCAGCAATATCAATTAGCAAGTCGGCCCCTCTCGGGCTAAGCGCCCTCGGCCAGCTCAACACCAAGGTAATCGTGGCTAGTAAGGGTAAGCCTAAGGACTAGCATAGAGCCTTCCGGTAGTACAGAATCCGCCTAAGTAAAACTATTAACGCCGTAAATAGCTAGGCCGGTATAGACTAAAAGATCTAGTAGATCGACGCTAGGCTCAAACTCATATTTAGAGGAGCTTTTAATACAGAGAAGCGCCTTATTATAAACTAGAGGGCGTTATTAAGAGGTCTATTAACCCGTACGGAAAAAAAAGCCATTATATTAGATCTAGCTACCTATATAGGCTAGTACTAGGAGGTCTTATATACGTTAGAGTAGGTGAAGTTAGCCGTCTAGGCGTAGGGCTAGAATTACGTAGCGGAAGGTCGGGCGGAAGTTAGTAGTTAGGAATATAGTGCAATATACCCAGTTTTCCCGTCACATAATATATCGTATATATTAGTGCCCCGGCGGATGCCTCCGCCGAGGGGTCAGGGTTTTTTATATATTCATACTTTTTTTTAACTTTATTAACTTTTTAATAAGAAAATAAGCGAATTTGTTTTAATATTTTAGTTATTTTAAATAAAATAATTTAATAAGGTTATTAAAAAGAGTTATTGTTATAGGGCTAGACTTTTTATCTATAGTGTTTTATTAATTACCTCCTTTATATAATAGTAATATATATACCCTTTTATTTTCTTTATTTTTTTATATTCTTCTTTTTATATCTAAATTAATAAGTTTTTAGGTTATTATTAACCGCTATTATTATCTAGTATTAGAGTTTAGTTTTGCTTTTTATTTTAATTTAGATATAATATAAGGTATAATATACCCCCGGTAAGCGGAATTGAAGCCTTAATTATTTTAATATTAATTAAACGTCGGTAAGTTTTATATTTACAATTAATAAAAGACGCCTATAATTTATTTATATTAATATTTATTATTTTAAGAAATATTAGTATATTATCGGTATACTTTCCTTTATTTTAATTATTTATATTATATTAATCTTATATTTTTATTTTATATTAACTATATTAATTTATAAAAGTTATTTAATTATAAAATATATAATTAAATATTATAGTTAAGAAAGATATAAAAAATAAATCTAATATTTTATATAAATTTAAGCTTAATACTTTTATAAGGTTATTATAAAAATTAGTTTTTTTTTTAAGCTAAGCTTTATTAAAGATTCGCTAAGCCTTAGCCGTAGCCTTATAGCTAGGCTACATCGAGCTTTAGCTATAGCTTTATAGCTGAGCCAGGCCTAGTTAGGTGCCCGTGCACTAGGCACCCATATAAGATATTTTTATTATTAATAATATCCATAACGTCCTTATCTTTTCTTTAAACCTTAAAATATATAAAAAATATATTTTTAAAGTATTTTAAAAACTTTAAGATATTAAACTTTATATCGAGTTTAAGAAATCTAATTCTATATTTAAAAGGCTAGATTTCTAAAACATAATATTATATTAAAATAGATAAATATATAATTATTAAAGATAAAAGTAATTAAGAACTAGCATATACTCTAGACTGTTAAGAATATATAAGCTTTTTTAAAATTTATTAATTTTTATTAATAATTTCTTAAAAATTATATTAATATAGTTAAACCTTTTAATAACCTAATTATAAAAGATATATTATTGATTTAAAATTTAATTTATAAAAGAATATTTATTAAAGTTAAAAATATAGTTATTTTTAAATCAATAATTACAATTTTTTAATTTAAAACGACCCTTTAAAATTAAGACCGATATTTTAAACCTTCTTATAAGAGTAGTTTTAAATTAACGAAATTTATAAAGAAAACTTTATTTTTATATATTCTATTTCAAAGTATTTTATAGATTAAAATTAAATTAATAAAGCTACAAGAGAAAATTAATAATTAGAATTTTAATTCTTAAAATACTTTAATTATAATTATTAAAAACTAAGTATAAGGTTACGGTCTATATAAACTTTAAAAACCTTATTAATTTTATAATAAATAGCAATTTAAATAATCAATAAATTAATAAATTAAAATCTTTTCAAAATTTAACTTCTAGATTGTTTATTAAAAAATTAAGAATTAATAAAATAGACGTTTTTAATAAAAGATTAGATTATAAGGTTACGGTCCTTAAGGAAATCTAAATTATCCTTAAATTTAATAATAAGGGCGACCTTATATTTATTATTAAATCCTTTATAATAGCTAAAAAGCTTAATATTAGTATAATTAGAAAAATAATCTTTAAGCTTATTATAAATATCTATAATATTAGGGTATATAGTTATTAAAGTATTATAAAGATATAGAAACGTATTAAATAATATTATAATAAATCTATAATATAAGTAGAAATTATTAACTTAATTAAGAATTACAAAACCTATAAAAAAGTAAAAATAGCCCCTATAAGTTCTATAAATTATTCATATTAATAAAATTATAATAATTAATCTCCTAAGACTTTATTATTAAATTCTTTAAGTTTAAAGAACTATTTACGAATATATATTATAATAATATCTCAATTATCGTCGACCGACTTATTAAATATACTTATTTTATATTTTATAAAAAAGTAAGTAATATTAAGGAACTAATATATATGTTTTTTTAAAATAATAATCGTAAATTATAGATTATTAAATAAAATTATTTTCAATAAAGATAAATTATTCACTGTTAAGTTCTAAAGATCTTTAATTTCGTAAATTAGTATAGACTATAAATTATTAATGTTATTTTATTTATAAATTAATAAATAAATAGAAAAAATTAATCAGATTTTTAGAATATATTTTTTTATAATGTAAATTATAAATAAGATAATTAAGTAGAACCTTTATTAATAGCCTAGTTTATATATAATATAATGATAAAATAAAGGTATTTTAGTTTAAATAAGGGCTTATTTAATTTAATTTAAGCCTTTTAAAAAGCCTTAGCTTTTTTTATAATTTTATAGCCCTCTTTTAGAAACGTAACTTTTCTATCTATTTTTATAATTAAGGCGATCGGACTTTTTAAGTAACTTATTATATTATTAATTATAATTTATTGAAATGAAATCTAAATACTTATAAATATAAATAGTATTAATAAAAGTATTATAGAAAATACTTAGATAATGATATATTCTATAGGTTTTAAAATTGAAAAAGATTAAATATTACATACCTTATAAATAATAGTTTAAATAAAATATTATTTTTATATCTTTATTAATAAAACAAATAATATATAATAATTTATAACGAAACATAGCTATTTAAAAATTTAGTTTTTTTAATTTAACTTAATATTATATTAATATATTTTAATAAATATACTTAACGATTTCTTAATTTAAGAATAAACGACTTATTTATAAGCCTAAGAACTAGATTTTTAAAAAGAGAAGTTAATATTATAACCTAATATTTATAATAAAGCTAACGTCCTATTTTATAAGACTATAGCGGCTACTATATTATATATATATAAGTACGGACTTAAAATAACTCTCTTTAAAATAAAAAAATAATAAATAAATTATATAATTATAATTATATAATGAAATAAAAACAGATATTTATAAATAAATAAAACGAATAATTATTTAATAAACAATTAAATAATATAAAATAATATAAAATAAAGGATGTATTTAAAATTAGGATTTATATATAATATAGATTTAAGCCGGGCTTAAAAATAAACTTTTATGGTTTTTTTTTAATTATTAACTTTATATTAGATTTTATAAACTAGCTGGCCGTAATAGGTAATAGTTAGAGTTCGGTTGGCTATTAATAGTTAGGTATATAGTAGAATATACCCAGTTTTCCCGTTATATAATACGTCGTATATATTGGTGCCCCGGCGGATGCCTCCGCCGAGGGACTATATTAATCTATAAGTTTGCACTGTTCTCGACCCACTCACTCCCGAGCAGGCATTGAATTAAATAAGCGGGCGCCATTGTGTTTGAGCACGGTCTCCGCTGGGCAGCCGCAGTCGCGAGCTAGAGACACCTACACAGCTGGTATCGGTAGGTCACTGGCAGGTAGCCTGTCTCCACCACAGCTCGTTCCTGCCACCTTTCCTCCACTGGTAGGAGGCCACAGCTCAAAGTCGTTGTCGTTTGTTAACTGCACCGTGGCCATACCAAGCTACTATCTCCGTCGTGTCTTCTGTCGAACACAACAATCCTCGCGGCACGCGCAAATATTTTGCTGGCAAGTTAGGTATGAACTAAATGCACCGTTCTTCCACCCCTACATACCCGCCGCTGACCATACCTCCAAAGATACACGACAAAGCCGCATTGCCCAACTTTCGATCGCAGCAGAGCACTCACACAACGATGGATTACGAAGCTCTCAAGGAGCAATGGAGCGAGGTCGAGGATCGCGATGGCGTTCGCCTGAGTTGGAACGTGTTTCCTAGCTCTCGTATGGTCAGTTGCGCTCGGTGTAGTATCTCTCTGCATCCTCTGACATGTGCTTATGCAGGAAGCATCGCGCTTGGTCGTGCCGATTGGGGCCAACTACACTCCTCTTAAAGAGAAGCCCGACACACCACTCCTTCAATTCGAACCGGTCACTTGCAAGCAACCTTGCCGCTCCGTTCTCAACCCTTTCTGGTGAGTAAAGCGAGCTGGGTTATCAAGATCTATGAGCCTAATCTGGGTCAGTTCCGTGGATGTTAGAGCTCGCCTCTGGATTTGCCCGTTCTGCCTGTCGCGGAACCCTCTCCCACCTCATTACAAAGATATTACCGCCAATGCGATCCCCCCCGAACTTCACCCCTCCAACACGACGATTGAGTACCGTCTGTCACGGCCGGCGCCAAGCCCTCCTATCTTCCTCTATGTTGTTGATACCTGCCAAGAGGATGACAGCTTGGCTGCGCTTAAGGAGTCGCTGGTCATGAGCCTTAGTCTGCTACCCGAGAATGCACTCGTTGGTTTAATCACATATGGCACAATGGTAAGTGCAGGGTCCACTACCGCTTCATCTCTTTGCTGATCACTCACCTCCCAAGGCCCAAGTTCACGAAATCGGCTACACTGAATGCGCGAAATCGTATGTGTTCCGTGGTAGCAAGGACTACTCTGCGAAGCAGGTGCAGGAGATGCTCGGCTTGCTCTCCCCGGCAATGCGACCTGGCATGCCCCAGCAACAGCCCGGAAGACCGATGCCTGCCGGCCCTGCGTCGAGATTTCTGCTGCCCGTTCAGCAGGCCGAGTTCCAGTTGACAAAAGCTTTGGAGCAGCTACAGAAGGATCCATGGCCTGTAGCCAACGATCGCAGGAGTCTGCGCTGTTCTGGCGTCGCTCTTAGCGTCGCTGTAGGACTACTTGAGTCCTCATTCCAGCACGCTGGTGGCCGCATCATGCTTTTCGCTGGTGGGCCGGCAACAGAGGGACCCGGCATGGTAGTTGGCCCTGAGCTGAGAGAGCCCATCCGATCGCATCACGACATTGACCGTGACAACATCAAGTACTACAAGAAGGCACTCAAGGTTGGTACTTAGATGAGGTTTCCCTCGTGCGAAAAAGCTAACGCTAGTCTCCAGTTCTATGATATCCTAGCCAAGAGGACCGCTCATAACGGTCACATTATTGACATATTTGCGGGTTGTCTCGATCAAGTCGGTCTCTTGGAGATGAAGGGCCTCTGTAACTCCACCGGTGGCCATATGATTTTAACAGACAGCTTCACCTCCTCTATGTTCAGGCAATCGTTCATTCGCGTGTTCGAAAAGGATGGCGACGACAACTTGCTCATGGGCTTCAATGCTACGCTCGAAGTACTCACCACCAAGGAATTGAAGGTCACTGGACTGATAGGCCATGCCATTTCACTCAACAAGAAATCGACATCGGTTGGAGAGACAGAATGTGGTATAGGCAACACATGCTCATGGAAGATGTGCGGCATTGACCCGAACGCGAGTTACGGCGTATACTTCGAGATCGCAAGTCAGGGAGGCCCCACGCAGCATCAGCAAACGCCACAGAAGGGCATGATCCAATTCCTTACCTACTACCAACACTCGTCCGGCCAATTCCACCTAAGGGTTACAACAATCGCCAGAAACCTTAGTGGCCCAGCTGGCGATCCGGCTATCGCGCAATCGTTCGACCAGGAAGCTGCTGCTGTCCTCATGTCCCGCATTGCAGTGTTTAAGGCCGAAGTCGATGACGGTCCGGATGTCTTGCGATGGGTTGACAGGATGCTTATCAGGCTCTGCTCCCGCTTTGCAGACTACCGGAAAGATGACCCATCTTCCTTCCGGCTCGAGAAGAACTTTACACTGTATCCGCAGTTCATGTTCCATCTCCGAAGAAGTCAATTCCTGCAGGTTTTCAATAACTCCCCTGACGAGACAGCCTTCTATCGCCATGTTCTTAACCATGAGGACGTAAGCAACTCGCTCATCATGATCCAGCCCACGTTAGACTCATACACGTTCGATCAAGAGGGTGGCCAGCCTGTGTTGCTGGACTCCACTTCTATTCAGCCCACCCATATCCTTCTTCTCGACACTTTCTTCCACATTCTCATTTTCCACGGTGAGACGGTCGCCGAGTGGCGCAAGGCGGGATACCAGGACCAAGAGGGCTATGAGAACTTTGCGTCTCTGCTCGAGCAGCCCAAGGAAGACGCAAAAGTAAGCTCTGTCCTTTTTCAAAATTGTCAGCATGTCAACTAACGCTCGGTAGGATCTAATCACCGACAGATTCCCGCTGCCTCGATTCATTGTCTGTGATGCTGGAGGTTCGCAAGCCAGATTCCTCCTCTCTAAGCTCAACCCGTCGACCACCCATACCACCGGAGCTTATGGCGGCGTGGGGGCGCAAAACGCACAGACTATCTTCACCGATGACGTGTCTCTGCAAACCTTTATGGACCATCTCATGAAGTAAGAAAGCATTCGATATTTATCCTAGCCTAATGGACTTGCTAACGATGGATTTCAGGCTGGCAGTAAGCGGCACAAACTAGATGATGGAGTGATGTATCGCCATGGGCTGAGGGAGAACAGTGGTCTCAGTATCGATGTGGTGGTCGTCTTGGTCATGCCAAGAGACAAGAAATCCACGGAATGGGGGACGAAAGGGCATAAGCGCAAATTCGGAGTCGGGATGTTGTTGCTGGCATATTTGGCATATAACACTTCTGACTTTGCCGTAATTACGAAGACAAATGCCAACGAATCAAAGAACTGTGTGCTTAACTTCAATAACGCGGAGAATAATGTTGCTCTTTGTAAATCGTGCCGGATTCCAATGCCCAAGGTCGATCAATTTTTCAAGTATGTCAAGCCAGCGTCGTTGAATTTATACCTAAGTCGAGGCGTTTGGAGAGACTCATCCGACAATCTGACCTGGCACATGTAAAGCGCGATGGAATGGGGATACAGGTGAAGGACCCCGCCCCCCACCAAGATGGTTACGGAGTGGGAGAAGCGGAGGGCGGTACTGTACATGCAGCACCATATCCGCTGTACTTTCGTACCTTACTTCGGCAAACTTGCCTTTCTGACTTGTGGCTGGGCTAAGGCACTTAGTGTGGCGCAGTCTTGTGAGGACTGATCGAGAGATAAGATAAGGTACAAAAGGCGGGCAGGCACCTCCCGGGCAGGTGTGCATCACGACAAACCACGTGACAGTCGTGGCTTCCTCTGGCGAAAAAGGCCCTTCGTGGATAGTGGAGCCCGACAAAAGAGTCATTGGCCAGGCTTTTGTGCACCGATTTTTTTTCCACTCAGCCACAGAAAAGGTGGCGCAGTCCCTTAGTCTTTTTTGCCTAGGGCTGCGGGAAGGCGCACAGAACTCATCAACATTTTCCCCCGTCCAACTTGGCCTCAACTCCATCTTCCGACACCAACTTTCCCATCAGACCCAGACCCGAGAGCAGACACGATGCGTAAGTGCCCCTTCGGACAGCCATGAGGCCTAATCAGCGACGACAAGAAAACTGACGATTGCCGCTTTGCTCAGCTCCCAAATTCGATCCCAACGAAGTCAAGGTCATGTACGTTGCACCTTCACTCAAACTTGAATATTGCGTGATGAGGAGGGAATTTTTATACTAACATAGTTCGCCAATATAGCCACCTCCTGGCCACCGGAGGTGAGGTTGGTGCCTCCTCGGCCTTGGCCCCCAAGATCGGTCCTCTCGGTCTGTCTCCCAAGAAAGTTGGTGAAGATATCGCGAAGGCAACTGGCGACTGGGTACGGCAATCCCTCCAATTTTGAGCTTCAATACCCCCGCAAGCGAGCAAGAATAGCACTGACATGATTGGATTTATAGAAGGGCCTCCGCGTGACGGTCAAGCTCACTATCCAGAACCGTCAAGCCGCCGTCTCCGTTGTCCCCACTGCCTCTTCCCTCATCATCCGCGCCCTCAAGGAGCCCCCTCGCGACCGCAAGAAGGAGAAGAACATCAAGCACAACAAGTCTGTTCCTCTGGAGGAGATCATCGAGATTGCGAGAACCATGCGCCACAAGTCATTCTCCAAGTCGTTGGAGGGCGGTGTTAAGGAGATTCTGGGAACGGCAAACAGTGTTGGATGCCAGGTTGACGGCAAGAGCCCCAAGGCCATCACCGACGCTATCGATGCTGGTGAGATTGACAGTAAGTACCGTCCGTCCTCGTCAATCGCGTTCCAAATTCGGAAAGCGATGACAAGCGCTTGGAGTACCTGGCTAACAAAATTAACAGTCCCTGAGGAATAAAGGAGGTCAATAGCTGGACGGACGCTCTCGCATGACTTCTGGAGTTTAGGAACGGTTCTGCATTAAGGGGACTACCCAAAAGGGACAACCTTGGGCAAAGAAAAAAAGAATTGCCGAATGACCAAATGACAAAGTTTCCAAATATCGTAGTGATCTTGCTGGCCGCGACACATTTCGTTGTGATGTCGAGGTTCTCGAATTGGCGTGCGGATTCCTACTCGGAATCCCGGGTATGCCATGGCAAGGACGTGGTTGTGGCATTGGTTATGGCTCGGGAAGTCACGGCGGCGGGAAAGAGAATGCGACCACTGCAAGTACCGTCATAGGTCTGATCTCATAGGTACAGCCCGAATTCGGTAAATTGTGTTCGCGCATCTGTGTACTTGTATTTCGTATTTCAAGCTAGTCTGAAGTGACGCCGGCAATATCTAAATTCTGCGTAATTAGATTCGCAAACCGAGGGTGGGAATGCCTTCTTGTGCAAGTTGACGAGGAACAGTAGGAAGGAGGAATACGGAGTGTTTTATCTGGTATACCTAGTGCATTCATCGCGTAAGTAGGTATAGTTGGTAAAATTAGCATTGTCTTAAGCAGTGCAGCGAAACCAACGTGTTTGGCACTAATGCATGGATCCAGGCTTGTCACCTCACCGGCCGGCGTTTAAGATTGATAGAGGTATGTCTTCATCTTATTGTGGTCGGGTAGGCAGTGTTGGAACTTCTCGCCGTTGGTAGGTATTCTATTACTCTACGTCAAACCCACAATGAGTATCTTGTCCGCGACTTTCGGCCTCCGCATTTACTTCCATACAAGAGAATTCGCTCGCTCTCTGTGTGTGCACTCTGTCAAAAGCCTTCCCAAGCACGGATAGAGAGGGCCTGGTATAATTAACTTCCCTGCTTGAGCAGTCCTCCCACACCTCGTTGGCCGTGCTTTCCTGCCAAGTTTTGTTGCGGCATTCCCGTCTTGAATTACTACTGATACAAGTTACAACAGTCTCGATCACTTCAATCATGAGCCGCTGCCAGCCGCTGCCTCCTGTCCTGTATACCTTACCCTATCCTTCGTTGCTCACCTCGTCTGACCGCTCTTGAGCACTACGGAACAAGCCCCAGTTGTGACCCCCGCCCTGCCCCGTCACCTAACTTACCTGATGCCTCACCTCATCACACTCCTCACCATGCCCACCCCAGTCACGTCATCCGACTTTGAATAGCCAAACCACCAATCCAAGGCACCCCATGTCCATGGTCCGCGTATAGTGTACACAACACTGCGCAGACTCGTGTGTCCAGTATCTGTGGTACGCTGATCTTTTTTCTTACGCCTCTCGTCGCCGTCCTGGCTTCTCTACCCTAGGATACGTACCTCCGCGTCAGGCTGGAGGTCATAAGCAGGGAGGGGACCTGGGAACTCTTTGGCAGATTGTCGAGCAGATCGAGATGAATCGATTTGAATTCAGGCTGTAGGGCAGCGTTCAGGTCAACTCACTGAATCGGGCTGATATCCATTGCAATATCCCGACCGTTGACGTCTGACCGACTACTACACTCCTGTGACTCCCTATGTGGTCCGTCTAGATGATCGCCTTATCTGTCTGACCTGATCTGCGCTTCCTGGGTGTTCCAGCGGCTGTCGTACCTTACCACCACCACCACCCGACTGGGCTAAACCGGGCTGAATCACATTGCCTCTTCCCACCACAACCAAACTTATAGCCACGCCCACGGCTGCAAGCTATAGCTGTCATTCCCGCTCCCGTCACGGCTACCGCTACGGCTACCGTTACTACTACTACTATTACTGCCGCTGCAGATTTCGCACTAGTCGCATTGTGTCTCGCTCCGCACTCCACGTTGCTTTCGCATTCTTCTTTTCGTCAACAGAGGACCACTCGATCAACCGCCTCAACCGCTCCTCCTGCGATATTTGTCGCCGTACCCGTCGGTCAAGTCGACTCTTTCCAACGTTGCCGTTCCTCCAGTAGGCCCCCAGCCTCCCATCACCTCGACCGACGAACCCGGCGCCATCTTAAAGACTAGACGACGAACGTCTGCATTAAAAAAACCCCCGACCTTCTCTCGACATTACCTTACGTCGCGCTTCGTCGAACTTGAACCACAAGAGAGTCGGGCTCATAGGCTTGACAAGGCCGCAGGGCAGGTAGCCTTGCTATCGGGCATTGGCACAGCCGTTCGCTCGAGGCGTCCCAGAGGCCATGCCCGTCAGCCGGCCTGTCAGCCATGCTCTAGCCAGCAGGCAATGACAACTGGTTCACGGATCGATATATCCAGCCTGGAACTCGTAGTATCATCCTTCGTGTTGAGCTCGCTCATTCCGCGTTCCGTCTCATGATAACCAGAAGCGCCTGGTCGTCTTCATCACATAACTCATGTTGCCTCTAGTTCAGATGCACCATTCGGTGCCACAAGCGCCAAACTTCGATCCCCTCCCGCCCTTCCAGCAGCCACAACAGCAGCAGCGCCAGCAGCACCACCACCAGCCAGAAGACTACCTACCGCACCAGCATAGTTACCATACACTCCCTCACTTCAGCACGTATACTTTCAATCAGAACTTACGCTGCCTGCCAGCCGGCTCGGCGAGCGCTGTTTTCCCTGACGGCAAGACGCCACGATCCTTTCCAATCCGGACTTCACACCCAAATCAACCGATTCAGCGCCGTACGACGGCCGCGGGCCAGTCGCATTTCCTTGACGGACCGGAACACCAGTTGCGACGTAAGACGCCGAATGGCACTATTGAAGCTGGCTACGATGGTTCCCATGCTCAGTACGCCTCGAGGCCTCCGCCCCTGAAGCAGATGGCGCTCCCGGCCGTTCAGATGGCCTATGATATGAATCGCCCTCATCAGACAACCGACCAGATCCGCAATTCTCTACCTGTCCGTGATCACGCAGGCAGTGGTCTGAACACGACGCCTACAACGTACCAACTATGGCCCCTTGCACAGGACTTGACGCACCAGTCGATGGCCTCTTCGCAATATGGGTTCAACACTCCAGATACGGCTGCGCTATTTGGCTCTACTCCTCAGCTTCATTCACGGCCTACGCCGTTCAACACCAGCTCTTACTTTCTGGGACCTTTCCCTTCAGAAAATGCCATCCCAGGAATACCACATGTGGGCAGCTCGTGGTTTCCGGCGCATCAGCAAGAGCAGAGCTATGTCGGCCCGCCGATGCACCATACCCCGTCTCCGTCACCATCAATATATGACCATCGTTACTCCCACGTGCAGAATCAGATGCTAGGACCATCTGCCCACTTCACTCCGCCGGATCCTTACGCTCACCTTTCGGCATACGGATCTGGCTTTCTGCAACCATCTCAATGTCATTTGGAGGCTCTAACGCTAGAACCGCACCAGGCTGTTAGCGCTGTCAATTCCATGAACAAGACACATCCATCCGCGTACAGAGAAAGAGTGTTAGCTCAAGCACACCGAAGCTATGTTGATTTACTCGCGCTCTTGCATCATGGGCGCAAAACTCAGCAATTGAGGCCCGGCTCAGCTCTGAGCACTACCTCGAGAATGGTGGTATATCCCAAACCGCCCAAACAGCCCATTGTCACCTTGGCCCCAGACCTCTTTTTTCCTGGAGATGCCGCTATGATGGCCAACGCAAACCTCAGGAACTCACAAGACAATATGCTGTTTAGTTCCTTGGGAGATAAATCGTCGCTCCCAGCGCATCACGTTGGCTGGAATGGAGTCACGGGTTTCCCGTATAGCAATTTCTCGGTCGCGAACTCAAGTGGCTCCTTGTATCCGAACCAGATCTCAAGAGGCTCACCTCTGGCAAACGCCAAAAGCTCCCTAGAAACTCTCACCCGTGTATGTGAGGTAACTGGATGGAAATGGACTGATGGTGTTCTACTGGGAGGCTGCTTACATTACGGCCTGGAACACTTCGAGGAAGCCTTGGAATGGTTCACCCGAATCACTTCACTGGAGCCAAAGTAAGTCTCCATCTCCCCTCTCCCTTCTTGCGTCCGGCTTCCATAGTCATGATATTATGAGCTCACCCTTACTAATTCGCCATATAGCCATGTGGAAGCAGTGTCGAATCAGGCAGCCACTTTGTACTGCCTCAACAGACAAGACGAGGCGGAGAAATGCTGGTTGAAGGCGATTAGAACTCGACCGCAATATCTTGAAGCAGTAGAGCATCTGGTCGGTCTGCTGTACAAGAAGAAAAGTGTCGATGCGGTTGATGTAATCAATTTTGTTCAAAAGTCTCTCAGGCTACCACAGGGCTCAACAGGAGAGGCTGGATATGACGCTACCGCCGCCCGAAGAGATGCTGCTTCTGGCTTGGCGACTAGTCTCCTTGACGAGAGCCGAACCCAACCTGGCTTTGGTTCGAGCGGTTATGCCATTCCAGGTACCGAAAATGGCCGCATCCTCGCATTAGTTCACGCCAAAGGGACAATGCTGTACAGTCTGAAAGACATCGCGGGGGCTTCTGAAGCCTTTGAGGAAGCCGTCTTGATCAGCGCAGGAAGAAGAACAGCTTCTGTCCAGACATTGGTCCGACAGATTCAGCAGGTTTTGTCACCAAACGGCAGCAATCACCCCTTCATCGACCCGGCGACGCCGTCTCGCCCCTTGTTACTGCCTCCTGAGCAGGCGAGGCGCACGGCAAAGCTGGTATTTTCCAACAACGGCGATCTCCCTGGCCTACGATTTGTACCTGAGGGCGGCCCTAAGCGAGCGGCAATTCAAACTACGAGCAACTCGCTACTTTCTCTCGCCAAGATATTCCAGGATGCCATGTCCTCTGGATCACAGACTGCGAGATTGATGAGGAAGTCGGCTGGCGTTGGTGACATTCTCTCACTTTACTATCTTTCACTTTCACTTCAAGAGAGCCCGTCTACGGCAAACAATGTAGGCATTCTACTTGCTAGTGTACAGCAGCCCATGGCAGCTACTTCTAGTCAGACTTTGTCGTCATTGCCTAGTATTCCTGGCATTACCCCTGGCAGCGGACTCGCTTTGGCTCTTGCGTACTATAACTACGGACTCACACTGGATCCGAAGCACGTTCACCTGCACACCAATCTCGGTAGCCTTCTCAAGGACATTGGACAGCTAGACCTTGCAATTCAGATGTATGAGCAGGCAGTCCAGTGCGATGGAAACTTTGATATCGCCTTGACAAACCTCGCAAATGCCGTCAAGGATCGGGGGCGTATCAGCGATGCAATCACATACTACAAAAGGGCGGTTCACTCCAATCCAGAATTTGCAGAAGCAGTGTGCGGGCTATCTACAGCCTTGAACTCGGTTTGCGACTGGAGAGGCCGAGGCGGCGCACTCCTACAGGGAGGCACGTACGATCGCTGGCACGTCGACAATGACGGCATGTTTTTCGATGCCACAAAGGAAGACCAAGGATCCGGCCTAACGAAGAAGGTTGTTGACATTGTGTCTCGCCAACTTGCTGACGCGTCAACTTGGGGCGTTGGTGTTTTACAAGATAACGATATTGCATCGTTGGTTGCACAGCTATGTTTGGCCGACGGGGAATCAACAGACGCCCATTCCGACTTCTCGGCAAAGCTACTCAGCTGGTCCAAGAGTCCTTGGGAAGGATCGCGTCTCTTGAGGCTCGTGGAGCGTGGTGCACGGGCAGCGATGCGGCGATGGTATTGCGACAAGTATCTTCGGGGCTTAGTGAAGTCAACCTCGGAGTACATACGTCCTCAGTTGCCATCCACCCTCGCTGTACCATCCGCTCCAACAGTCCTACCATTCCATACCTTCACCTGCCCCTTGACAGCGAAGGACATTCGTATGATATCGCAACGCAATGCCTTCAGGATCTCCTGTTCGACACTTCGCTCCCCCTGGCTTCCAAAAACTGTGTACCCCCCACCTGCGCCGCCATCGCCTCATCTGAATGTTGGCTATGTTTCCTCAGATTTCAATAACCATCCCTTGGCTCACCTGTAAGACGCCTCGAATCGATTCCACGTTACGATACCCGCAGCTAATACTGATATTCAAATAGTATGCAATCTGTTTTCGGATTTCACGATACCGCTCGCGTAAAAGCGTTCTGTTATGCTACGACAGCGAGTGATAAATCTGTTCATCGGCTGCAGATTGAAAGTGAAGCGCCAGTGTTCCGAGATGCCAGCACATGGACTTCGGACAAGTTAGTGGAGCAAATCGTTCAAGACAATATTCACATTCTTGTCAACTTGAATGGCTATACTAGAGGTGCTCGCAACGAAATCTTTGCTGCGAGACCAGCCCCAATCCAAATGTCCTTCATGGGCTTTGCCGGCAGCTTAGGTGCCGAGTGGTGTGACTATCTGCTTGCAGATGCCACAGCCATCCCCCCGGAGACACTACGCCCTTGGCGTGGTAACCTCTCTGTCAGAGACATTTTTGAGGACAAAACTGAAGAAGGCGACGGAGGATGGATCTACTCGGAGAACATCGTGTTCTGCAAGGATACTTTCTTTTGCTGTGACCATGCGCAGTCGAGTGACCCCGATGAACATAAAGTTTCATGGGAAGATGAGCAGCGCCGACGGTGGGGTATGCGGAAAGAGCTGTTTCCCAGCCTGCCTGACGATACTGTTATCATGGGAAACTTCAATCAGCTATATAAGGTTCGTCACATTCTTCTTATTGTGTATCACAACCGACAACAGGAGCTAATGCACTTTCAAGATCGACCCTACAACGTTTCGGACGTGGCTACGCATCCTAGCACAGGCCCCCAAGGCCATCCTATGGCTCTTACGATTCCCCGAGCTGGGAGAAACGAATCTCAGGAGGACGGCGAAGGCCTGGGCCGGGGAAGAAGTTGCTAATCGGATCATATTTACGGACGTGGCGCCGAAGAACCAGCATATATCCCGAGCTCGCGTCTGCGATTTATTCCTCGACACTCCCGAATGCAACGCGCATACCACGGCCGCAGATGTATTGTGGTCTAGTACACCTCTCCTAACACTACCACGATACCCCTACAAGATGTGTTCGCGTATGGCGGCATCGATTTTGAAGGGCGCGCTGCCCAAAGGTCCCGAGGGGGCCGAGGCAGCGAAAGACCTCATCGCCAGCAGTGAAGAGGACTACGAGCTCTTTGCCATCAGATTAGCGAATGACTTATCCTATCAAATCGGCCGTGGTGGCTACGGCGAAGGCAGGGGTCGCTTGGCAACCTTGCGTAAAACACTCTGGGACAGCAAATGGACGTGTGCACTTTTCGATACCAGACGATGGGTGGTTGATCTAGAGACGGCCTACGACGAGGCGTGGCGACGCTGGGTGGCAGGAGAGGACGGAGATATTTACTTGTAGAGGCTCCAGCATTTCTTTCAGGGGCATGGCAACTTCGATTACGCATTCATGTACTGGGACGAAGAGCTCGAGCCCAGTACTTATACTTGCCGAAATCACTTTAGTTTTGTGGGCATCTTCTTTGACTTTTGTTCTGGATGCACTAGGATTGTACAGGCTGGCCAAGGGGCGGGCCAAGTTTAGACATCAGCGACAGGAGTTTTAGGCGGAGGATATGCCATTGCTCAGCGTAGACACCAGTCCAGAGCAATGCTGCCCTATGAACTTGGCATATCTTTCACTGCTTTAACGTTACTGAGGAAAACTCAGTGTTGGTTGCGAGATGGAGCCGGCGTTTGGAGGGAGGCTTGCCTTGGAGCAGGCTATGATGTATATAATAATACCCTGGGCCTCTTCCCTCGTCCATGTGAGATGTGAGGCCCTCGCGATTTACGTTTGATTGATTTCGGTTGCTTATACACTAGTTCTGGGCTTCAACCAGCCATCAGACCATTTCAATCAAGGTCGAGACCTCTGTCCTCTTCTGCGATCGACACCCTTAAGCCTCCGCAGGCTGCGTATGCCAGAGGCTGGGATACGATGACCTGTCGTCACGGCGAGCATGAGAGAGTCAGGCTGGGTTGGGCTCAAGGAGACCGAGACTAGCGCTTGGCATATAGCCACTGGCACTCGTTCTACCTTGGACATACAGAGAAAGCGGGGAAAGGATAGCAACACAGCAAGCGGTTGTCGCCAGTACCATCACAACCATCGTGTACTTGTATTGGTATCCATGCCACGAGGGCGCCGATGGACGGGGAGGCTAGGCAGGCGGCAAGAACACCGTTGACTCGGTTCGTCAACCATGGGAATGCCCAGCGTTCCGTAATGCAACCAATGATAAATCGAGGACATCAATGTTTCTCCCTCCACATACGAATTACGAAAGGCATCAGAACGGAGAGGGGCGTTGGCATGGCTCGCTAACGATGACTGACGCTCGACCTAGGCTCAACTGAAGTAGCTCCCCCCCGTGAGTTGTGTGTTTGTCCGGATACGATTGTCGCACCGCTATCGAGCCATGCCCTTTCCTACTTAGGGGCGCCGGGGAGGAGGACGAACGCCACAAACGTGGAAACTAGGATTGCAGCAAGGGACATGGTCTCGGGGCTAATATTTTTGCTCGATAGACACGGGACGGTGATACCTAACAGTAATCCACTCGACAATCTTTGGGCTGGGACCGGAAGGGAAAGCTCTATTGAGCAAAGCGTTCTACTCTGTCTAGAGAAAAGGAAGATCTATCTCACCATAGTTGATACACTATCAGGCGGAAAAGCCGGGCAGGCGAATAGGCGGGAAGGCGAGACGAAGGGGGTCTAACGGCTTGACAAACAAGGCCATTTTGCGTTTTTCATCTCCCAATGACCCAAGCCCCCGAGGTGTCGGTACTTTGACAAGCAAGACAAGTCTAAAATAATGTGTGCAAAACGGTCTGCATCTTTCAATCAATCCACTAGTCCTCCTGCTTGTTCGTCTCTTCTCATCCCTAAGGACAGTGATTCGCAAAATTTCACAAATGGTTCGGCCAAGACGCCCGTTATTAGGGAAAACAGAATCGTTAGGGGTTTTAGACGATGGTAGTTTATCCGGCAAGTAAGAAGGGCTCGTGCGAGACAAAGTCATGAGCCTGGAGAAGTGTACATGGCCGTTTGAACCCATCACTTTAGCCGTCACATCTTTCGGCTGCTGTGGCACCAAGAGCCAGGTCAATTTGGCATTCAGCAGATTCTTCTTTGTGTGGACATCGTTGAAAGCTCCTAATTCGCCCTCCTCTGACGCTCTAGATCTTGAGACATCGCGACGGCACTGTGTAGCAATGATCATCATAACAACAACATCAACAGCAACAACAACAAGAGCAACATGGGAGGGAACTTGGCATTGTGTGGTCCTCATGGTGGTTGCGATGAACTAGCATAAAGTACTAGCTACATCTTCGTGTCCACGATTGGTAGACGGCGACCGGCTCAATATCTCAACAATATGGAAGACGAGAGGAAAGGAAGAATGAGGGTAAATCATCTAGAGATCTTCATTCCAGTCTCACGAGTGAACTAGAGTACGGCACCGCTGGTTCACATCCTGTGGCTGGCTCGAGGCCAGGGCATAGGGGGGCATGAGGCGTGGTATGAACTCTGGCCACGTTATTCGCGACGGTAAGAATCTCAGTGGCACGCCAGTCTCCCCTCGCTCGTCGATAGTCCGATGCAGCTTGTGTAGGCATATTGCTGTCCAAAGGGCGACCTAGGTATCCGTAAATTTGGCTGGAACTGCCATCGTTGGTCAAGCCAGCAGGACAGAAACGTGGCTGGCTAGCTAGTACTCCAGACGTGACGGACCGTTGCTGAGAACCGTTGTGCTGGCACCGCCGCCATGGAATTAAACGGCGAGACCTCGCTCGGACATTCGTCTGTTAATACACGGCCCAGGGTGCCAGGCTACTACTACTGGTACCGGACGCATGACGGCTTGGTCCTGATCACGGGAACGATATTGAAGCCATGATTGAGATGTATTTTTGGTTGTTCTAGTGCGTCGTCACTGAATCGGAGAAATAGAGTCTGTCGTAGATGGTAGGAAGATGGTCAGTAAAACAACATCTTCTGCCGCGGGACGTTGTACAAAGCTGTCGCTGGGTAGACACGGAGGTCATGATGGGCAAGCCATCATGACATCTCGAATTTCTGACTACTGCCCTCGTGGTTATTGATGAGGATTTGGTGCAAACGCAGTTGGGAAGATACACGGGCGACCTTTTGCTAAACTCCTGCTCAGCGCGGAAATACTCATTTTCCTCACACGAAAGGGAGGAGATGTTGTCTTACCATGTAGATGACACCGCATTGATGGCTCTGCTTAGGTCATAGGCCTGGCCGTACTCCTTTTCTAGTGTGACTAATTCAACAGTTGCATCTTACCTCAGGGTGGGACAATACGACTGACTGTCCAGCCGGTAGGGTCTGAAGAAACAGGCAATAACTGTCTTCACCTGAGCGAAAGAAGCTCCATCCCTTACCATTGGCTACACAAACCTTTGTTGGAGTGGAATGGCGAGCGGGCGGTGAGTCGTTGTGTTGTTCCATCATCGATATTGTTGCCTCATCTCGGACACACGCACATAAACTTGATGTGGGGTGAAAAGGGGGGATAGATGCGCGCCAGGCACGGAACGTTCTCGCTCCGAGAGTGCAAGAAGGGCTGAGAAGGCTGATTGGATGGATGTATAAATGGCACCGGGCAGAAGCTGGAGGCTAGGAGATCGGAATAGAAGGGCGGATAGGGGGGCGGGGATCAAGGAAACGGGTACGAAGGCGAAGAGAAGGACACTGGAGAGGCAGCAGGGAGCTGGTCAGGCTGAAAGTGACGGTGACGGTGACATGGTCAGGGTATGGGGAGAGCGATGAGGAATCAATTACACAAGTTCAGACAGAGCTGATGGGAAACCGGCCGGTGGTTCTTTACATTTCGGTGCTGATATGCCCTGCATGACAATGGTGAGGTGCTGTATCCTTGCGAATGGCTGTACCCGTAGTCCGAACGGAGTACATCCTGTGGCCTGTCACCCTGTAATGAGAGGGAAACGACGACGAGCCGGGGTCAGCTGGTAATAGATGCAGGTGAGGTCCGGCTGGAGGTGGAGATTCTTGTTTCATGAAACCGACGGGTCGGTTAAGAGCTAATGATTCTCCTACTGTGAGGTTTCCCGTGTATGTACTCGGCATGTCCTGGCCGGAGATCATTGGTAGGCCCGCGGGGGGGGATGAAAACTGGTGGAGGTGGGCCCGCTGTGAAGGGGGAATTTGAGAAAAAGGATGGGTTTGCAGCAGAGAGGGAAGGGGCAGCATATGAGGAAAATGCCAAATCGCAAAAATTCGCTTGCCATGTCCATTCGTGGCCTAGTCCAGCTAGCATGGGGGGGGGGGGCACTAGCCTGTATCCGTACGGAGTATTCTTACCAAGAACCTACACTAAGACCTGGGAGAGAGTGAGGAGGGGGACGGGGAGGGGTGTGAAGCTATGTACCAAGTGTGCCATGACAGTGCATGCGAGTATCATCCCAGAACAACGAGTTTGACAACAACTATTGAATCAACATCACCATGCTACCGCCGTATGCATGGCATATGTGTGAGACGATGGTCTCTGGAGCTGAACGCTGAACGCTGGAGCTGAAGTTGAAGATGCCGAGCCCGGGAGGAGGTCAGAAAGGGGGGGCTGGCATGTCCATGAGAGGCTCCATGAGAGGCTCCATGAGAGAAGAACACGAATGCCCAACGTGGTCCAGCATGCACCTACTCCGTGCCTTACCGATACGTTTCCACATCAAATGCATCCCCCATCATCCCAGGACTCTGTCTGTCATACGCTCGCCTTCTTCGTCCGTGCCAGAAGGTGCCATCCTAAGATGGCGTCGTGGTTGGCGGCGTGGAATGGTTTTGGCGAAGGTGCAGACTGCCAAAGGAATACGGGCAAATTATGCCACATGCGTGACAAATGACAACCAACTATTGGCATCATCTTCGACACTTGTAGCGCATGTATCCGGACACAGAATGCACTCGCTGTCTATTCGTGTGCCACTTGCGCCTCCGGTCCTGTAGTGTCGGTCCGTCCGCTTGCCCAGTCCATTGCCGACAGCACGCTACAGCACACCCAACGTCGAGAACCAGACAGCTGGAAAGGTTGCCAACGGTCTTTGGTTGCGGGTTTCAACGTAGCTTATTCCTGGTGCAGCGGCTGCCACCGCCCCAGGGGACCTAGTCGCCGCTGTCCCAAGCCCTCGGGCGCAGCTAACACGGACGAGGTACGCAAGCCACAATCAGCGCCTACTGCATAGGGCTTGTCAAAGAAGAATATGCTGCTGGCTCCGGCCGGGTCCAACGCCGCCGATTATGGCGTCGGACAAGATACCACTTTGGGCACGACTATCGCGGAGGACACTCCAGTATCGACACAGGCAGAGTCGTTCGTCCTTCCAATGCAGCCAGCCAGTCGGCAGTTGAAGCCGATCTGTCTAATCCATCCCGATGCTTCGTTTTGCCGTGTCCGTGGGCGTGGATGCTGCCATCCCATGATAGGTAACTCAGACACCCGATTCCCTAGGGGTTCGATCCGTTATATCTCTGGCGGAGACATATCCTACGTGATCGGGACTTGACCCTCGCAGGTGCGATGTTTCCTCATCATCTGGACCACCACCTCACGAGTCGGCATTGGTCGTTCAAAAGTAAAATTGTATCTAGCTACCGAGGCTGCATCTCGGTCAGTTCACCAATATACGACGGGCACGATGTGTTTGGCCAGGTGTAGGAGCCAGAAACAAGGAAATAGATCTAAGCAACGCTGACAATATCCGGCCACATTGATGTGACGGGGAAGAAGATGGTGGACGACGGCGCCGTCATCCCTTCGCCGTTGAACACCCCTCGAGCTAAACATCTGGACCTGGGGACTTAGGTCCCAGAGGAATGGGAACGAGGAATTGGGCAGGCAGCCACGGCGTCCGGCACAAGCATGTCGGCAAGAATCCACACTACCTATACCAGCGTTAGCGTCGACCCGGTAGCGGGGGCGCACCGTCGGGTATCACTGTATGACAATTTCTTGTGGAATGGGGGTGTTTTGATGATTTAGAAGGGGGGTTTGGATCCATAGTTACGGACGCAAGCCATGCCACCCCCTAGCATCCCGTTGCGGAGACCAGAACTGTCGACGGACGTGACCGCGAGGTGGTGAGGTAGCCATGCATGGGGGTGCACCCATAAACACGGACAAACAAGCTGTGTATCGCTCGTTTATCAAGCACTACCTTGTCAACTGGGTCGTGCTTCTTTTTCGTCTGCCGCGATTTACGATTTGACGCTTGTTATTGCTTCTTCCTCTCCATCATCTGCGATCGGGTTCCTCGTCAATTGGTGTCGTCCGCTTCGGCCATGGGTCAGGAGGAAGAGTAAGCCAAGTACGAGACACCATTCATGCAAGTCTTATGCAAGGTGCCTGAGGGGCTCTCTCTCTCTCTCTCTCTCTCTCTCTCTCTCTGGTGAGGGCGTGGATTCGCGTCAATATCCGTCTTCATAGGAGTATTTCGTACAAGGAATGTGAATAGCTGCACGCTATGTGAATCATAGTCCCTCCCGCGGCCCCAAGACCCATGCCAGCCGTGGTCCCAATCGTCTGGTTAGGATCTCACTGGGGCTTGAGTGATTTGGACTGGGATCTGGCTACCCTAGAGCCGGCTCGCGGTAGAACCAGGCGTTGGGGCAGAGGAAGAGCTTGGTGCCTCGTGGTCTGGAGAATCCTTTGTAGACCGTTGCTGGGGGCCGGCTAAGCCGCGACGGGCGAAGTCCTAGGTCTTGATATTCGGGGAGTGCTTCCCAGTGCTTCCGCATGCGTCAAGGTCTCGATGATGTGGATGACTGCGTACAGTACGCCTGGCAGTTGCCGACAACGGGCGCAGGCCAGAGGCGGCGACCATCGCAGCGTTTCGAATGGCCTCGAGGTATTGTGTCCGCATGCGGCAGCTTTTCTAGCAGTCTAGTGGTGGCTCAAGAGGATGGGAGGAGCCGTAACCAGACGCGGCGTGAAGTACGTGCGTACTATGACAGGCTCTCGTCCTTGGGATCCTTTTCATCGACAGCGAGCAGTGGTCGTCGGGCCCAGACTGGGTTTGGATTTTGGTCTCGGCCGGGCCCAGTAGAATCGTTGACAAGGACAATGAAAAGCAAAAAGAAAAGGTCGAGGCACAGCCTCGTGTAGGCAACCTGACCCCACAGCATCGACGATGAGTGCAAGGTAGTGGATGGATGAGTGACGCTATCTCCGGATGGCATATTGCCGCGCCTGGAAGGAAACATGGACGGATGGGGATTTCGTATCTTGTCGGTGTTCCGGCCCCT